TCGAAATTTCCCGATTCGTCTTGTCGAGGAGGACACGATCGGTGAAAGAAGCTTAGGGAGACTTATAATTAGTACAAGCGAATATACTATATATACACATGAGACATACTCACGCGATGTTTTCCTTTCCGATCCTATGTTTCTTTTTTCGTTTCAATGATCGTGGTAACACGCGCGGTCAATAGCAACATTAATATTTATTATCAATTAATATACACGTAATTAATGTAGACGTAGTCGGCGAGCTCTACGCGAGCTTTTCCTTTGTTTTTATACACTCGATATTGGCAACTTGACGAGCGACTCTTTCGAACTTATTCGTATAATGCAGCAATTGATGTGATTATGACGGATTGCGAGATATCAAGGTAAAAAGATAATAATAAAATTTTCCTATACGCTTCGAAGATCTATAGCGACAAAATAATTATATTTTCTTTATTCTTTACAAGTTCTTACAACGCAAATAATCGATAGGAAAACAGCTCGTTGAGTTGCGATATATGTATAAAAATACAGATTCAAGGACGAGCTCGTATCCTCTTTCTCGTTTCCTTGTTCGTCTTCTTACGTAAATAGTAAATTTCCATTTCGTCACCTCGATTGAACGTCATAATTTAATTATGACGGGATTTACCCGCTGTGCAATATTCTTAATGTAGAAGAATCGCAAAAGAGCATTCGATTAAAGAGATTTCTTTTCTAATATTTTACATTGAAAAATATATCTTACTTCGTTACAGTAAGGATACGTTTTTATAGGCGCCATTAAAACCGCCATTATAGTAAAAGGATACGAGTTCGCGTTACTTTACAACTTGAGGCTATCGGTTATTATTGAGCGTGTTCCGAGATAATAAAAGATTTAATGTTCTCGCCCTTTTTTTCAACGGGCGATTCTTGTTCTTCGATCGGGCGACTTCGCGCAGTCTTGGCCGCGAAATTATGTCTCAGTTTTGCGTCGATTGTCCGGCATAATTTCGAGATGTCGTAACAAATTTACCAGTTGAAATCAGAATCATTGTTCTCTCATAGTATGTACTTTGCTAATTATAATTTACATTGTTGTATTATATACGATTATATTACTGTAAGTCAATGTGATAGTTGGCATACTAGCTCTCTGCACATTCTTCTGCGTTCGCCGCATTCACATCTTCGGATGTTACAATAATGCAATTTTTTGTTGATCCACGATATTATAACTTTAAAAAACGTAATAAAAAATTTCTGCATCCGTCAAAATGAGAAATGTACAATTTCACGCCCATAGCCACGAAAACCCGATATTGTTTTTGCAATATTAAATTTGGTTATTTTAACACACATATTTAAAATATTTCTAAGGGCTGCGCGATCTATGCTCGAAATCTATTTTTGTACTAAGAAAAGAGAAATTGAAATTAATGAAAAGGAGGCTGCTGCTTCCTTTCCCTTTCTACGTGCGTCTATCTTAATGAATCTCTCATTGTCACATTTGTGACACTTTCCTGTAGAGTTTTTCAGTCCAGGCGTAATAAGAAGGCACTGCGAGACATTATAAGAATAGCTGATAAGTTGCAGTCGTTAATACATATACCTACGAGAGAGAAAGAGAGAGAAAGAGAGAGTGTAATATTAGGCTAAAAATCCTAATAAGTATAATGGAGTAGAATTACAGTTTTCCAAAAAGTATTTTGTTTTTATCTATCTTAGCTTTGAGAATATTCTATCCAATAATAAATCCATATCCGATTTTAAAAAAAGCGATTATTAATAAGATTCGAAAAATAAGCTATTATCTATCAACATTTAATTTTAAACAGAACATTTGAAAAAATATAAAATCATTATTTGAGAAATTTTTATTTTGTATATTTTATAGAATTAAACTTGACCGAGTATTATTTTATCTGCTATAGATGCGACAGTTATTTAATAAACAAATACGAATTTATGAAAGTACATGCACGTATTTTTTATTTTTGTATAAATATAAAAAAATGTTTTCTATTCAAATTTGGTTATAAAAGGGGCAATGTATTTGTATTTATTTTTGTTTTTGTAACTTAAGAACTGATTTGACGATAAAGTGATAAATTAAGAGTGATTTTATAGCAATTCCTTTTTTTCTTAATAAAAATGTGATATTAGTTTTTGTAGTAATTGTTGATCTCTATCTTTTTCCCTTTCTATCATTCACTCTTCCTTTGAATTATCATTTTTTCTGTTTCTCTTTCTTAATCTCTCATTTTTGATCGTTTGAAAGGTAGGGGATAGAATATGTTTTTATTGATATGAGATTTTGAAGAAATCGATGCGCAGGTATGTGCGTTTATCGCGATTTTGCAAATGAAATTCGAAGATTTCATTAACGGAAAAAAATCAGAATGATTAAATACAGATCTCTAATGTTAATGTTATTTATTTACTGCACATTAATATTTCATTGTGCATAAAATAACGAATTATTTTTTCAACAAGGGGAGATAAGAGAATTCATTGGAAGCAAAATATCTTTTCTTTCAAAATCGTAAATCGTGAGGTACGCATAATGCATTTGCGGCGATAAAAAGATAATTAATAAAATTTAATTTATAATTAAATATAATTTATTAAATTTGAGTTATTTCATGTATAATATTTTTAGAGCAGAAAATGTAACGTTTTATTAAATAGTTTAATACAAGAATTTATTTCGTTAGAAGTAATGTACTTCTCGTTCTTATAACGTAAATATTAATCTTTTTCGTGGATGTTTCAAGAAGTTTGTGAGAAGCATATCCGATCTGTGATTAATTGATCTTTTAATTGGATTAACAACGTTGCAGATGCGTGCGTAATTCGCGGGAAATAGTTGAGCAGTTGATTAGCGCATTGCACTTAGCATTTAAGTTGAAGACAGAGATAGGAAATAAATAGAAAAAGAATAAAAAAAGATAAGGAAGAAGGTAGAAAGTAGTCAGATATGTAGAATATATATCAGGATATCAACGCGTAGCACTCTCTACTTCATCCTCTATCATACTGTAATAAAATCTGTCGTTTTCTTGATTATGCCCATATATAATATACGTATTTACATATATATATATAAATATTTTTAAGATGTTTTTGTGCATTTATAATGTAATAAAAATTCCGAATCTCTCTCGTGTTATGAGGTTTGTTAAATGACCTTGATACACGATAATTTCTCGTCCGTGCGTTGGAAATATTTTTAAGTATCGCATAATATTTGAAATTTTTCTAAAAAGTTTTCATATTTTCGGATAGAACACGTTCTTCTCTTTTCCTTAGTACACTTTATTCAAGATTTATTTCATATACATTTTAGTGTAACTAATTTGAAATCTACCGGCATGTTACATGAAATCTCTACTCTGGTCTAAAAAGAAAGTAAGGCCACAATTTGTAATAATACAACTTCGGAAACTCTCAAACGTGTTGACTGTCAAAGAAAAATGTCTCTTTAAATAAATGAATATATATCTGAAATTTATGTCATTCCCTTCTTTTGATTCCACATATTATAATTTTTTACACTAATTTTACAGAACAATGTATGTGTTTATGGGAAAATAAAGAAGAATAATTATTAGAAAATAATTAAAAAAGGAATGATTTTTTAATGATATGATACATATAGAACTTTCTTGATGTATTTTCGAATATGGAGAGGGAGAGAGAGAATTTTGCAAACACGGTGTCTGTGAATATAATTGGTTTATTACGCTCAACTTTTTGTTCTACACTGTAGCTCTATGCTAAAGTCGACAAAAATTGGCTAACGCTTTGGACTACCCGATATACAGAATTGGTTCGATCCCTCGCCGAAACTCGTCGGTGATAATTAATTACAGTGTATTTTGGCTATGTACAGATTTACTAAATTAAAAAAAAATCGCCATTCTCTCGCTTTCCGCAAAAGTAGCTTTAATAAAAAAGGTCTACACTGTTTTGTAAAATTTTGTAATAATTTGCTAAAAGATAAAAGTAAAAAGAAGAAATATATAGAGAATGAAAGAGAAAGTCGAACAAAGAAATGGAGTAAAAAAAAAAAGAGAATAGGTGAAGAATCAATAAAAATTGTGGCACGACTTATTAGAACCCATGCTTAGTACTCGCTTAACATTAATAATCGTGTCTTTCTATGTACAATTTGTAAACGTTTCACTAAAGCTAAAATATATATATAAACATTATACGCTACTTAGATATATGTTGTACATAATATAAAAAAGGTGTACTTGTCGTCGAAGAGAAACGGGAAAATGCTCTCTCCTAATTCTACATGACGAAAATGTAAGAATCTGATAAACGGCGAGTCTGTGAATCCAAACATCTGTGTAAAACGGTGGATCTACGATGAGATCAGAGAGATCTATGGCTACGGATCTAGAAATAGAACATATTTGTGAAACCACGATTTATGAGTGCAAGCGCAATTCGCGCGTGGATCTAAATTTATTATATACAGATCCCAAGAGAGCGATCGCACAATCGCGGAATTATGAATCAAAAGGTTTATTGAATTGAAGGAGCAACGTAGAAATCCGTTGTAGAGAAATCCGTTTTAGATGTGCGATTTACGGATAAATCTCCCGAATTTAATTGGGATTCAAAGATCTCAGAAAGCGAAAGAGAGTTTGAGAAACCGCAGATCTATGATTCATCAGATGAATTCGATGATTCATTGAACTGCGGATGCGGAGACCCGCAAAAAGATACGAACACAGATATACGAATACAAGATTCGGTAGAAACACAGATCTGTGGATTCAAAGACCTTCGAGTTCACACATATTTATATGTGTACACATACATATACATATAATCGATCGATTGCGTTAAACTGGGATGTACATGCTATGCCGCGAGCCTGCTCATCGGCCGAAATACTGCACGGTGTTCCGAAACATTACAAGATATCTGCTGCTAATTGCTAAAGTCCTCACGAATTCAAGCATATCGGTTTCGTTTTATCAAGTGCTAAAAGTACTTACGCACATGTATATCTCTTGTTCAATAGAGCTCTACTTCTGCGTTTGTTCGAGTGATCGTACACAAGCCTCTCAGTGAAGTTCATATAAAATTCATAAGGCAGCATTTACAGTTGTTAAAACATGCCAATAATTATGAGATTACAATACAATATAATGAGACTACATATTGTCAATTATCTCACATCAATTTTTTTTTTTGTTCGATAATAATCCAATATCCCATGAGGGACGATCTTAAAACTAGATAAGTCGCGCGTTCTTGATTTACAAATAATGTACGCGACCTGCATTGACATAAAATTCAAGATTAAATTACACCAAGTTAGAGCTAAATATTAGTTTTACTTTTTGTGCTTCACTCTGTGCGACACAAGATTATCCATTTTCCGATATTTTGCACGACTCTAGCTTGACTCGCAATGCTTCCTCTCGGATCTACGGGATTTCGCGTGAAATCGTGACGCACACATACACACATGTGAGATCCATGTTCCGGACGTCATGGCTGCGTACTTGTGCTGCTGTGACCCACGTGAGATTTCCGTACGAATGAGCGCGAAATCGCCGCCGCTCCGCGTCGACGAACAGTCGCTACTAGAGGCACTCGAGTCAGAGTCTGACTGAAAAAATTCACTATAAAAATCAAAAAATAATGAAATGTAAGAAGGATTTGTTAAAAATAATGGTTACGGATCGATAATTTCAATAGCAATCTAATGCTAATTTTGGGAAACGTAAAATTGAATTAAACAAGTATTTTTATGTGAAAATGTGGTGAATTATGTGAAAGAGATTGATTTTGCGCGTAAGAGTTATTTAATTTCTACAAAGCTTATGTAAAAAGATTCATAAAAAAAATATTTGTAAATTCTAAATTCATTTATAATTTTTAAAGATATGACAATAATGGAAAGAATATATTTCGTATTTTAAAAAATATATTTTTTGTGTGTGATATGAATTGTATTATAAAAGTAAACCAGAAAAAATAATAAACAAAAATATTAAGTTTTTCATCTTTTCTAAAAAAATGTGATCCTGGAATTAGCGTGCAACTTGCAAAACAAATTTTCATTTGACAGTAAAAAAAAAGATCTTTTTGTATGTAATATATTTTATATGTATTTTTTGTACAATTATTATTGGTCTATAATTATTCGTGTAATCGTTATTAATATAAAACTTGATTCTTTTCTTGTCAAAGCCGTGAAAGAGTATTACTCCGGCTCGAGTGCGTCCCTAGTTACTACTCGACGTTATTAACACGGGGGCACAGGAACTTACCGTTAATGCATATTGATACGAAGTGGTGACTAGTAGATTCTCGCCGAGCACTCCGCCGCGTCCGGTCTGCGCGCTCTCGCAGACAGAAGGAGCTCTTGGGAATAGAAAGATAACATCGCGAAGAATGTCGAAGAGGAGACGTAAGCTGGTAGCTTGCAAAGCCAAGAAAAAATTTTCAACTATTTTATGCTTCATCATTGTTAACAGTTACATACGTCGTTTGTCGTAATATAATACCACGATTATTCCGACGGCTTGTCAGTCAATATACGTATGGTCGTTCGTATTACATTTGCAGCGCAAGCAGCGAAACATTTTCTACCGCATTAACAGTCTATTGCCGTTTCTCATTATAGACGGCAGACTTATAAGTGCCGCGTGCATTACGTTGCTCCACGAATAAATAAGCATTTATGAATACTTATTTCACATTAATCCCTCGCAGTATATGTCGTAGGATAACTACTAAGAAAAGTGCCACGTTCTTTGTGCTATTCGCTTGCTGAGTATTTAATCGGAAGCTTCATCTTCTTCAATAGAAAATTCGATTTTAGGAACCGATTTCGAATTCCAGAAAAAAATTTTATTTTTCTTTGACTATATCTTACACACGTGTTTTGGAGTGTCATATAGTTCTATGTACAGAACAAATGCGCATTAATTCTAGATGTCTTTCAGCATCGTGTCTCTTCTTCGTTATTCGCGTATACTAAAATGTTATCTTAGAAAGGAAAAAGGAAGAAGAGGAATGGGATCATGTATAGAGTTGATTTCTCTCTAAATGCATGCAGAATGTATATCAAGTTTGATACGGCCGTTCTCGCTGCACGTCTTCCGAGATAGAGTTTTTAGAGGCCGGACGCGGCGGTGGACAAAGTGCGCGATTATGAACGGCGAGCTAAATTTGTCGAACTTATTGACTGGTCCCAAACGGTTTGACATCTCGTGGCTTTCCGCCAGTGTGGCAGCGGGATGTCGAGACGCTTACATTCGTGCGCGTATGCCACGAAGGACTCGCAATAGCAGTGCTGGGTCGGGCACTCACACATATCTTGAAGGCAGGCTTTGTAGTACATCGCCGGATTCACCTTCTTGTGGCACGGATAAAAGATCTGTGACTTTAGCCGATTACATAATCTGCAATCATAAAAAATTGTAATAGAAGGCGTTTATCTTGAAATGGATATAGAACGAATTTTGGAAACATTAGCGATTATTATTATAAAACGACATGCGACAAACAAAATAATAAAAAAGAAAAAAATAATTGTTAGAAATAATACTATGAGAGATTGTTGATTTAATTAAAAATTAATTTGGTTGAAATATTTGTGTTACTGACAATTATCAACAATAAGACTATACTTTTTTAAATAAAATATTACGCAAATATCATTATTAAGAATTGTAGAATATTAGAGAAATTACTTTACAAAATTTCCAGCTATATAAAATAATCGATATAATGAAAATATATTCATTTTACTTCTGATACTCTTTGGAAAGATGTCAATAAGGAAACAAGATTATATAAATAAAGTACCGCTGATCTTTTCTCTCTCGACAACGTCTCTGCCTGGTATTATTTCCAAATTTCGTTCGAGGGCACGTCTTCTTGGCACCACCCACGACCCAGGATTGACCAAACTGCTGCGGATCCTGAACCACTCGTCCATGTCGCGCAGTAAAGTCATCTTTGATTTGGGAATTGAAGTTACCACAAAGACCGCATAATTGACCCCTATACGACGAAGGCACAGACACTTCGAGAAAGCTGATACCATCCCAATGAACCTTGATTCCGATCCGCGTATTGACAATCACACTGTCGTCTGTACGATTGATGTCCAATTGGTTAGCAACGCGATAAGGAACGTTCACCTTCTTCCCGTTTACTTTCACTTTCATTTTTTGACCAAGATTCACTTTTAAATCACCGATCTGCAACATAATCGCACGGGACATTAATAGAACGAAAAAGTTTTTTCCCATCTTATTTGATGTAATTCTTTTCGAATAGAGCAAGAAAACCTCATCTCAGAGAAGACTTTATTTAGCAACGCTATATTAAGCCAGTTCATCAATCAAAATCTATAGCCTCATTTGTAAAACAATTGAAAAATTATCTTTTAAAGAACGTTGAAAGCATTAATTTGAAATACTACACATGCGAACAAGTGATATGATATTATTCGATAAAATTCGAATGCGATACTTCGTATCATTTTCTTAGTTTTCTTTAAAAATTAACTTTAGTCTATTTAGTTCAAGGAAGCGAGATTTAAATTTATTTCGTGCTATAATTTATATTAAAATTTTCATATAACTTAATATATATACCTTTATGGCGATAGTTTTGGTCCACGCTGAAAATTTCGTTTTCCTGGCATCATTGGTTACCCGTATGCTGAATGTGTGAGAAAAACAATCGGTAACTAGTTGATACTTGCACGCTCCCTTGAAGCTGTAGAATTTCCCATCGAACGTACGATAGTGTGGGTCTCCAAAAACTGTGCAAACTCCGTCACCTGGAAGAATTAATAATTTTAATATTTTCATACACATTGAGTATTAATCCTGTGAAGTACAACACGATAAAACTCACGCTCTACACATCGCGGACAGCATTGGCCTTCCGGATGTTCCAATTTAGAATTTGGCGGGCAACGAAAGTTCATCGGCGGACACTGAGGCATTGCGCAGCGCACTTTGCCCTGTTTACAGGTGCATGTCTTGCAGGAATCCAGCTTCCAATTTTCGCCATCCTGCCTAGGACAAAAAAGGTCGTTTAAATGACCATGAAACAGCAACGAATGCGAAATGAAAATATCTCGCGAGAAGATATTTTCGCAACGAAATTGATTTTTTACATAACTCTTTAAAGTGATACATATTTACTAATGTTTTTATAGAAACGTTTTTATTTTTGATAAATATAGACATCGGATTCTTATACAATTTCATATTTTTTAAAAAATCAGATTGGAAAATAAAAATTTGTTTCATTAAAAAAGCACTCTAAAAATGCATATTTATTAATGCATATTTTGTGCATGTCTGCAAAAAATATTTGCAAAAAAATCTGATATCTCTATTGACGATAAATATTAATTTATTCAACTAAGGCTTGTTTTAAAGAAAATTGTTTAAACTTTCAAAGTATTGTCATAAATACTTATTATAAAATTACTTAGCATAAAAAATTATGTACGGTGTAAATCGGAAAGTTCTCGGACTAACCTTAGAAAATTCGATATAGAACGCAGTACCGCATCACTTTCTGTCGATTACTCAAATTTATAATTATAATAATATTTACAATATTGACATTATAATTTATAATTCATTTAAAATTATAAAATTTATAATTATATAATTTCTAATATTTATTATTAAGGCGTTTTCACGCCTTTCGTATTTTAATATACGATAGAAAAAAATAATTATCGATGCAGAAGTGCTATTATCTTTGATAGATAAAGTAAAAATTAGCATAAACTCAATTCGATTTCATCTCAATTTTGTTTCTTTTTTCTTTTTATTCTAAAGTGGTGGCCAGCTTCATATAGAAGTGAATTTTTTCAAAATAGCACGTAGTACAAAATTATTTTTAATGATAATAATTTAATACAAAAGAGGAATACTAAATATTCCAAAGATCCGATTTGATTTTGCTGACTTGATTCTGCTATAGCTTAATAAAGGTTATTTGATAATGCTCTAGTTCAGTTTCTCATTTCGCAATTAGGTTGCTCACGCGACGGATAAGATTGCATGACGATGAATAAAAGCGTGATACTCGCCACATAAGTTCTTCCACCATAAGAGCAAGAGGCCCGGCTCTCCTCGACGAGCAAGCATTGCGGGCAACAGCGGTTGACTAGGATCATCTGATGTTCCCTGGGACATTCCAGTACCGGACAGGTCTCCCTTATGCACGAGATCGCCGAATTGACGCAGGTGCAGCGCGTACAGTGATCCACGTAAAATTCACTACCCGAGTTATATAAATGCGTGCCGAGCATGCACGCGCCTTTCGGAGGTGAGAAGAATCTTGCACTGCCTGTGTGATAGAAGTAGTGTTCTTGTAATCTTTTAACTTGAATATGTGCTAATATGATCGCGTTACAAGCAAAATATTTTTCTGAATCGTTCCCTTGTCATGCTTGTCAATTACGCGAATTATTTTCTCACGTATAACTGTATATCTAATGTTATCTACAGTCCAATGAGATATACAAATAGGTGTTTGTAGGTAATAATATTTGTAAATTTTATGTTAATTTTATGTAATATTTTTTAATTTATGCAATCTTAACGCTACCATTTGTATTTTTATTCGATGTAATTATCGCGATATATTTCATACTTTGCATTATACTTTAATGCAGAATTTGAAAGTTGCAGGGAGATATGTATAATCAAATGGCAGCGCGCGCATTCTTGGATGGCTAGATGACAATCGTAATATTACGTGTTTCGCTGGTTTTTGCGCAATTGCGACATTGGAAAATAATCAGATTCGTATAAAATCGATTCGCGCCTCTGGTATTGTAAGAGAGATCGAAATGACCTACAAATTCAAAGTGATTTTAATTGTTTGTGTAATTGTTTAGAAAATTTTCGTTTTGACAAATGTTAAAATAAATCTCCGATAGTTATTAATTTCGTCCCTCGAATTGGAATGCTTACACAATAAATAAGTGATCTTATATTAATATTACATCTATGTTATAATTAGCGGCTTGTATGTCGTAAGAAAAAAGAGTAACGTGCTATTACCGTCATCTAAATTGAAAATATATGCAAATAAAAATAAGGAACTGAATAATAATAAGGAACAGACTTCCTTTTCTTAAGCACAATTTTTGGAGGTCATTATTTTGCAGAGAAAGATCATTTCTTTTCGTTTCGGAGCAGAAGCGACGACATTCATCTTAATGAAAACTATTTAACTTCTTTCACCTCGACAATGTGGACAGCATTCCCCAGATACATCGACGATCCTCGTTGAAGGACAATTAAGCGTCGGACAGGCTTGCTTCGCGCAGGTGAGATGTCCCTTATTGCATTTGCAGGTCACGCAGGGGTCTTCCGTCGTTGTCACCGACCTATCCTCCGTCACCTTCTGTCCATTTACTAAACAACCTACAAAATATGAATCGAACATTTCGCGTTTAGCTTCTTTTTCAGTATTCGGGTAAAATTGTGTTTTTGGCCGAGACGGAATATTAATTAATACGAAACACATATGTACCAATGATGGAAAGAAGCACGATATACATATATATATTTTTCTTTTTCTTCAGACTAATGTAACCACATAAATTCAACACTGCGTGTTCTCATAAGATTTCGCATCGTACAATTAATACAACTGCGACTTTTTTGTATATAGAAAAGGATCGCGGTTGTATTATTTGTACGATGCGAAATTTTATGAGGACGTCGTGTTAAATTTATGCGGTTACATTATTCTAAAGAAAAAGAGAAATAGAATGTTACAACGTACGTGTGTTATCGTCCGTTCGTTTTTCGTCGGGCAGAGGCGGCGCTGTAATTTTCAATCATTATCGTTCTCTCTTCGTTATATCAGCGGAACATTCCAGTTTTAATTGCGCGGCGGGCAATCAGAAGATCGTGAGAAATATTTGTGAGATTGGCGTGGGTAATTAGTAGCAGCAGCAGCAGCAGCATCAAAGCGCGCGCAAAAAAAAAAAAAGAAGAAAAAAGTTACGCACCTTCGCATATAGGACAACACTGGCCAGATGGGGCCGCTTTCGGATGAGAACAGGGCGTGTAACATCGTAGTTTTGATTCAGTGATGACGCCCGCTTTACAGGTGAATATTAGACAGGGGTCGTTTCCTTCCGTCCATTCCGTGTCCGATGCGTGATATACGCCGTTCTGCATGCACCCTGCGATGTAAAAGCGGCCAAGTCTTCTAAGTACAATCATTTACACTAAGTGAAATCAAATATACGTATGATGTCAGCTTAGAAGTTAGACAAGACTATTTGCGTACTTCGAAAATAACATATTCGAATAAAATTTGGATTTGAATATTCAGAGACAGCAAATTATTAGGACGATAAGCTTAATTTTTTTAATTATCGTAGAAATATCTACTTTATCTCTTATCCTTTTCAAATAAAATTACAAACAATATTACATTTTATTACTTATGTTTTGTTATTCATTTTAATATATTTCTTGGCGTAGGTGCTTTATACACTTTTCGGTCGGATTTCGTCTTCGGCAGGCAGCAAGTAAACTTACGTCACCATTAGCATAATTAATAGTAGACGATAACAAAGACCATGCATCTGTCAGCTACATTTCGTAAACAGAGACACAGCCACGAGAGACTGTGAGACGTTAAAGTTCTTCGGGTTTATCATCATGCCGGCAAACAGAAGTGTCTTTGTGCCCTGGGAACAATGCTCCGCCGCGGCCGAGCATTCCGCGAGCATTTTCGCTTTTCCTTCTTACCGCCGCCGACAATATTCCCCCTCTCCCTTCCCATTCTCTCTCTTTTCCATTCCGGTTGTTCCGCGAGTAAACCCGAGCCAATTAGAATGATTAGGATAATTAAACGAATTAGCGGACGGACAAAGGTATTCTACCTGTGCATTTGTGGCAGCACTCGTCGTCGCGCGGGTCCAGCAACGCGTAGCAACCTTCGATGTTCGGACACTGTTGTTTCAAACACTCCACGAATCCGTTCTGGAAAGAAAGAGGCGAAAACATTTATTTCTCTTGCGTATGGATGTCATTCAAAAGACGTGCACTTTCTACTTCGACTTTTCTTAATGTGCCTCAAGAAAATGCCAACTTCTGAGACAGCCGCAGACTTATATGTGAGAGAAATGTTTTGACCTATTTTTATGATCCTAAAGAAAAAGAATATCTGTTTTGATTCACAAATATGATTTATTATATACTTCTGGAATTCGTTGCACTATTCGCAGTTTAATAGATTCAAAGATGATGACTTGCCGAAATTACTAATTATTCACGAAGTTTCATCGAAAAAGATAATGTCGTTTTTAACCACGAGGAAAATCACGAGCTGCAAGAAAAGAATGTGAATACCCCAAATAAAACGTTATTATGAATCGGAAATTTGGTTTGTGCAATTGAGTCACACAGCGGCGGCAGCGAAATTCCGGCTTGATTTTTTTTATCTTGTTCCGACTTCTCGTCCACGTCCACGTTATCGCGTTCCAGTAATTATTTCTTCGGTTTCGTTATCGGGTTCTATAATTAAGTCTTTACGGATTTATCTTCTGTCAGAATTACGTAAACTAACTTAAACGTGGGTCCGACGGTCATCACATACGTACTAGACTACGCGCGGACCTAATTACACGTGCCGCGAAAAAAAGATCTCTGCTTTTTTACGCTCCCTTGCCTGTGATATTTTTACGCAACTTGCCTGAAATTAATTAATCATTTTCATAATAAACATGCGGGAAGATAAGAAACAAGTAATATACCAAAACTATCGTACATAAAGAGAAAAACAGAGCTCAGTAAAAAGAAAAAAAGTATCAATTATATGTATAAAATTTTTTTTAAATCAAGCAGAGACACTCAAACAGAGATTTTTACTTCATTATTAAATTCTTTAATGACATTTCCTCATAATTGTGTATTACTGCAATCACATGTACTTTTGTGCTTTGTATTTGTACTTTTTTTTTTTTATATATTAACTAAACGTTAATTAAATTGTGAATTTCACTTTCGTTAGTAGTCAATATAACAGGAATACTTTTGACAAAGGAGTAAATAAGTACATTACTGCAATAAGAACGGAATAATTTCATAAAACAAGAATAATTAAATAATTAAGAAATTAATAAATCTTTGCGATCAAAATGTAAATATATATA